CTCTTTCCCAACAGTTCCCACAAAAATCCCAGGGCTGACTCTCATTGGGCCACTTTATGTCATGTGATCATCCTTGACCCAATTGCTGTTGCCAGGGGGAGGGGCCTGGGTCACGTGGCCAGACTTGGGACTGAGAGTCGGTGAGGGGGACCCCTACTGGAAGAAGGGAATGCAAATGGCAAAGACAACCAGTGTCTACTTGAGCCTCTGGAGGAAAATATGCATTCCTCACCAGACCGGTGGCGGGGTAGACTTGGTCTTTAGGGATTGCAATCCCTCCTCAGCCCAGCCATGGACTTCTATGACACTTATCTTGGTCCAGTCTTGGACCTGGACTAGAGCTTTCTCTGCCTGCCTCCTCCCCAACCTGTCCCCACCCTACCTGGCTGCAGTGCTGACTGCCTTCACATCACCTGCGGGCACACAGGCCCTCTTGCCAACTCCTGACCTCCTGCTTGACCTACTGTCCAGTTCCATAGCTGCCCTGCCCCCACCTCCAGTCTGGCTTTTTCCAATCCATGCCATTCACTAGCAACACTGCCCCCAGTCCAGCAGAGCCCTGGCTCAGAAACCTCCAACCACTCCTCAGCGTCCACAAGGGAAAATGAGCTTCTTAGCTCCATGCCTGGACTTCCTCACCATCCTAGGAGCCTCCCTGATCCCTGCCATCAAAATGCACCTCCCCCCCTAATTCCAAACTGTGCTGGGCATCCTAATGCACCAGCTTATCTGCCTAGAGAGAAAGGGTCAAGTTTGAGTCACTGCTGCCCAGGGCCCAGTACACAGATGGCGCTCAACGAATGCCTGTAAAGCCTAAATTTCCAGCCCTTGGGCACAACTGCTCCTTGAGGGAGATGAGAAGTCAGACACCTCCACAGAGACAGACAGGGAGCTGAGACAGAGAAGGTAAAGCAGAATGCCTGAGACAGAGACCCAGGGGGGTAGAGACAAGAGTGGCAGAGAGAAGAGGGGAGATCCAGAGAGACAAGTCTGGAAGGAAGGGACCTTCATCCAGGGAACAGACCACAGGAGCACCGGAGAGAGTGAAAGTGTGCCCGCTAAGGCACTTTTTTTTGTTGTTAAGCAAACAAGGCCCCTATAATTTGTGTTTTGTCAGGCTGAACTTTCCGTATCAGTTTATTTTGCTGAGCAACCAATCCCGGTAAAAACACTGGAACATGTTAAAAAGGAATGGGGTGGGGAAGAGAGTCAGACAAAACAAAAAGGAGAGAACATTTGCCTGTAGGTCAGTCAACAGTCAACATGGGTGACTTAACACAGGCCTCACTAGAACAATCGTCCCACCCCCAGGGCCCGGTTTCAGGTGCGAGAGTTGGAAGAGGAGAGACTGCACAGAGAAGAAAGGAAAAAGTCCACTGGGGGAGGGAGTCTGAGCTGGGCGGGGGCGGGGAGAAAGGGCCTGAGTTGCTGCAGGTGCGGGAGAAGGGCCCTGGGGCAGCTCTGCCTCCAGCCTGACCACGAGTTAAGACAAGTCAAGACAAAGCTGCTAGTGAACTGACACCTCAGAGTCCCTGCCATGGGCCAGAGCCCCCCAAAGTCAGGGACGCAGCAAACTTGTGTCCTGGGCCAGGACCCAGGCTGGGGGGCCAAGCGTGGCTGTAATTTACACCGGGGCTCTGACTCGGCAAGAGGATGTCTGCGTAAGATGGCAAACAACACCCGTCCACAGCATCCAGCTGGTGCTTAACGATGGCAGCTATCACGACCGACCACGGGAGGCAGAGGCCACAGTGCCTGCGTGCAAGTTGTGTACAAAGTCAGGGCCACGTGGCCGTGCAGGAGATGCCAGAGCAGCCGGTGGGGGACCTTCTCACCATCCACCGGATTTTACTCTGCATCATGATGCTACAAAAATCGCATGGTGTTCATGATTTGAGTTTTTATTTTCTGAAATGGAACCATTGTACATTGTACAAACCATATCTACTGATGGAATAAATAAGTGAAAAATTATACTGCTGTACAACACACCAAAAAAAAAAAAAATCGTAAGGAAAACAAAAAAATTAGGTAACAGTGAAAAAAGGTCTTTATACCTCTAAGCAGGTCCTTGGCTGATAATGAACATTCCAAACCATGACATCGTTGGTAATGGGAGGTCACCACCCTTTGAGTCGGTCTACCGCCTTCGGGTTATGGGGGTAAGTGCCAGCACTTTGTGGAATGTGTAGCTGCAGCATCCCCAACTTCAAGTTTTTCGGGGAGTAAGTTTGCCCCGGGAGCCCTTTAGGCCGCGGGGCCTGGTGTCCGCGGAAGGCATTCGCTTAGGACCCCCGCCTCTGGCTCGCCGGCTGAAAGGTCTTAGATTCTGTGGTGGGACTGGGGGCAAGGGGTGGGGAACGGCGGCTGAGGAGCGAGCCGCGTCAGGGAAGGAAGCACGTCTGGATTTTTGCAGTCTCATCATCCCGCGTGGAAGGCCTTCCCGGCCGGCGTGGATGGAATGCAGGGCCGCTGGCGCTCTGCCTGGCATGGCCGTGGCGGGGCCCCGTCGGTCCCGACCCCCGGCCTATTCCTACCTTCAGGCACTTCAGAGAAAAACTAATGACAGCCTCGTATCCTGGGTGTCCTCTTCGTTCATCCTTAACCGTGTCCACTCCCCTTGCCTGTCGAGAGGACCCTGCTGTTTCCACTGATGCGTGTGTGATTCTCCTTCAGCTGTCTTGCTTGTAACCTCTCGTTTCCCAAAAAAGAAGAGGAAATAAATATCCAAATTCATCTTTCATCCAAATGGAGTTTTGCTGCAAAGGAAAAAGTTAACTCTAACTCTATAGGGTCTGGAGGTAAAGCCACCTTGAGATACGCTGAGAGGTAACGCAGGACACAGTTCTCCGCAGAACTGCCTGTCTGAGGGGCGAAATTGATAAGGATTTTTTTTTTAAAGACAGAAACCTTTTTAGCATCGCTAACTTCAACATTAAGATTTTCAAAGTTCGTGTTTTTTTTTTTTCTTCCCTTGTTTCAGGAGACATTTTTGCATGAGGTATTTGAAATTCAGGAACATTTTGATTCTTCTTGAAGTGCAGGAAATAGATCGGCTCCCTTAAAAAACAAATAAGAGCCTCACCCTCAGACACTCTTAGAAAATGGAATCTGGCAGACACTCCCCATGGTGGTCAGGAGAGAGATCCACATGGGAACAAGGTGGTACCTGAATATGCACCAATTAGCCAAAACAAAAACAAACACACAGAAAAAAAGAATAAAACCACCAACAAAACCCCGAACCCTCCCTCCCCGCCATACAACTCAAAGGGAGTTGGAACTCCAGTGCAGTAAAGAAAGCTCAGGAAAAGGGTTAAGGTCTGAGGAGTCCGTGTAGGAATTAAGAGCAAACCAGGCCTCAGAACCAAACAATTAGGCAGTTTGTCCAAGCGGGGGGGGGGTGGGCATCTCCATTTTAGTGAGATGAAGCTGTCCCAGTGCAGGCAGGGGATGGAGGCGGGGGAGGGACCCGGTTGCCCCTTCCTGGAGGAGTGCAAAGCTCTCCAGTTACTCGGTGCCTCGTTTCTGGCCTTCGAGGTCCAACCCTCAAGGCCCACTCGCCCGTGGCAGCGTCTGGGAGCGTCGGCGCATCCGGGAATGAGACACAATCCAACTGTTGGCTCTGGGAGTCAGAACGGTTCGTAGAAGCAAGCGGATTTTGGATTTTGGCTGACTGCAACCTCGCCTCCTCTGCAGGTGGGGACTGCAGGTGGGGACGGGTGGAGCTCGGGGGGAGGGCGGCGAGCAGAGGGCAGCAGGTGACTGTGGATTTGAAATCCAAGACGTCCTATGAGAGAAAGTTCAGCACCAGCTATTCCTCCCGTCTGCTCCCAGCCTCCTCCGCCCCTTTATCGTCTTAAGGAGACAATCCTGCAGTCAGCGGCAGAAGCCAGTCCGTCTTCGGAGGTATAGGAGAACGCGGTGTGGTGGCGGCAGAGGGGGAAGTGCCAGGACAATTGAAGGGCTCTGTGGAAGCCCTTGGGGACGATGCCAAGACATCGGAGACTCCTCGGACCCTGGAGGCTGGTGCTGTCCCCACCTGGGGCTCAGGGTGTGTCCCTCAGCTCCCTGGACCAGGAAGTCAGGCTGCCGGGGAGGTCCTGCTCTTCTGCAGCCTTGGGCTCTCCTTCTCCCTGCCTGGTCCGCTCCAGCTGAAGTCCTGGGGCAGGGAGGAGAGAGATGTGAGGACTGGGGCAATGGCTGCCTGAAATGAACCAAGAGGGCACTTGCAAGGGGAGATGCAAAACAACCAGGAAAAACATGCCAGAGGTCACCTCAAGGGCACAAGGCACAAAAAAAGAAAGTGGAAGGAATCAGTTGAACAGTGAAAAGCCCCGATGAAAAAGCGAATTCCTCATCGGTACCACCCTCAAATAGCTTACATCCTTAAATAGAGAAGTGGAAAAAAAAAAAACAAAACAAAACAATACAGCAGCAACACAAATGTAATCTTGGCTTCAGAGACAGTGTGCAGACGCTCCTGAGCTGTCGACCCCGCCTTCCCCAGGACAGTCACTTCAAGATTCGAGTGTTTTGCTTCACAGCAAGAAGTTCTTCAGTGTCTGAGAAGTTACGCCGCTCTAGGTTTTCTTGGATTTGCACTTGGTAAACTTGAAAAGTTAGTAGTTCCCTTCGCACCCAACAGGGATCCGCTCGGGTGAGGTTGTTCTAGAATTAGGCCTGCTGATGCATCTCCCGTGAGAAGTGGATCAGAGGACTGAACTCAGTGTCTACATCTCCTCGGAGTTTTGTTGCGATGCCTCCAGTTTCATCTTTTTGGAGGGCGGCACTCCTTCCAGATCCTTGGGGCAAGAAGAAGAAAAGAGAAACACAGGTTGAGACCCCAGGAAAGCGACTCAGGTCAGCCGGGAGGTTGCAGATCAGCCCAGGAAGGACCCCAGGGCGGGTGTCCGCGGTTCTGACCCTGTGACCCTTTCGTGGACTTAAAAAGGTTCATGGACCCACGGGGAGCCTCACACCCAAGCTGCTCCTGTGTCCACCAAGCCCATGTCACTCATGTCTTCCAATTTCTCATTAGCTGCAGGGTAATTATATCTGCAGTTTCAGGTTTACCTCTGCAAGCTCGAAGGCTAGACCAACCTGGCCGTGTTAACAACTGCTCATCCAGGGCTCAGCACAGGTGCCCGGCCCGGGGCAGACACTCAGCACTGTGGAATGTACACAAGTCTGTTATTCTGGGGGAAGGGTCCATAGTTGCCACCAAATTCCCAAGAAGTCCCGGGACTCAAAAAAAAGAAAGTTCAGGGCTTCCCTGGTGGCGCAGTGGTTGGGAGTCCGCCTGCCGATGCAGGGGACGTGGGTTCGTGCCCCGGTCCAGGAGGATCCCACATGCCATGGAGCGGCTGGGCCCGTGAGCCATGGCCACTGAGCCTGCACGTCCGGAGCCTGTGCTCCGCAACGGGAGAGGCCACAACAGTGAGAGGCCCGCGTACCGCAAAAAAAAAAAAAGAAAAGAAAAAGGTAAAATAGGGAAATATCTATTTCATACAAACAGAGTAGAGGAAGATCAGGGAAACAAAAAAGACATGAGATGTACAGAAAACCTATAGCAATATGGCAGACATAAATCAACCATATCTATAATAATATTAAAAGTAAATAAACTCTCTAGTCAAAAGACAGATATTGTCACAAGGGGTAAAAAAGGAGAGCCAAAAAAAAAAAAAAAAAAAAAGTTCAACGCTCACTCGTCTGCCTCTCCCTCGACCTTCTCACGCCACCATCCCAGGCAGCTCCAACCTGACCCAAATCCAGCTCCTGACTTCACCCATCCTAACCGGTGCTCCCACAGCTGGCGACAGCACCACCGTCTGCCTGGGATACAGCGGACCCTGGAGTCCTCCCTCCTCTCCGTGCCCCCACGCCCAACTCCAACTCCAGAGACCCTCGGCCCACCCCCTCTGCCCTCTGCCTGCCACCCTGTCCACACCTGAGCCTCCAGCCCTCATCTGGCTGGTGCAGCAGCCGCTCCACGGCCGCCCTACCCAGCCTTGAGCAGAGCCCAAGAGAGCTTCTCAAAGTAGTGATCCTACATAGACTGCTGTCCCACTGGCCTCAGAACAGAAGCCCAGCTCCTCGCCAGGCAGAGGCGGCCTCCCGCTCTCCCCTCCGTCCCGCCCTCCTGGTCCCGCCTCCCCTCCCGCTCCTCAGGACGGCTCCTGTCTCCGGGCCTGTGCACCCTCGGTCCCCTCTGCCTAGAAAGCCTGCCCTCGCCTCCCTAACTTCTCAGGCCTCCACTGCCCCCCGCTTATGCCGTCCAGGAGGGCACTCTGCTCCTCTTAAGCATCTCCTCACTGCCTGGCTCCCGTCCTCCTGCGGCATGAACCGTGGCCCGCCTGCGTCTGCTGTCTCCTGGCTGTGTCTCGCCCCCCTCCCCTCCCCCCCGCCGCCGACCCCATCGTGAGCCCCGCGAGGGCTGGGGGACCATGTCTGCTGGCTCACCCGGACTACCTCGTACCCGGCTTACTGCCCGACACACAGTGGGTACCCAATAAATGTGAAACAGAGAGCCCCGGGCCTTGATGTAGGATGTGTATGAGTTTCTTGAGGAAAACCCTGAGAGCAGGTATGGCAGGGAGGCACCCCTCCCTTTTCATTATGGAAGTGCTAAAAGCTCGTGCCTTCCAGGGAAGGTGGATCCCGTTCAGGTGAAGTGTCTGCAAAGCACTTGCATGGAGGGCGCGGTGGGGGACAGTATGTGAGCTTGGGAGCGGACTCTGGAGACAGGACAACTGTCCTGCGTAAGGGAGAGGGCAGGACGGAGGGGCTGAGAAAGGGGACAGGGAGGCTTTTTTCTTTTTGAAACAGGAATGGCTGAACATCAATGCCAAGCTGTTTGCTTTAGTGCGGCGCACCCTTCGCCTTGCTCACAAACCTCGCAGCTCTGGAGACAGGTGGCATGTCTATGTGAGCATGAAAACGGCAGAAGAGGTCCCATTTCAGGTCTGGGTCCCCGGAAATGGGAGTGGGGGGGGCGTGTTAGAATGGAAGACCCCTGGACTTTTCAGATGTCAGTGGAAAGCATTACATGCCCCCAGGGTGTGGATCAAGGTTTCAAGCTATCTTTCCTCCACTGAGTTCAAGAGGCCAGGAGACCCCAGCTGCTTCTTGGTTTTACCAGCTCTATCTACATGAGGCTTTGACTTGTAACGTAGTTTTAATCAAATGGGCTCGTGCTATGCTCGAGGCTCTGCCTTGTGTTTTTCATTTCACATTGTGAGAATATTTCTTTGTTCTCTATCTGTACCTGGGTCAACACACTCTTTTTTTTTTTTTTTTTTTTTTTTTTTTTG